TAAATCTGTTTTACTTAAAAGGTTCTTATGTGGTCATAATGAATACAAAAATGGAACAGTACAAATGTAATAAGCGATCAGCTCATCTCCATGTTGTCTGCCCACACCAGGGTTGTGTCATCTTCCTTTCCTCGCAGGGAAGAAATTGAGACACAGGAAAAGTAATGCAAAGGTTTTCCAGAATTCCTGGTGATTTGTAACATTTTGGAGTTTGAATGTGCAGCAAATGACACTTCCATATTATTCATCAGAATTCCCACAAGAAGTCAGAATCCGGACCTCCTGAACCTGAATCCAGTGCCCTCAACTGAACACATCAGCATGGATTCTTCCCTTCCCTCTGGGGCTGCAGTACTGACTGGGCTTTAGAGCAGACCCAAGTCTCCTCTAAATTGCACTGTGGAGTCAGGAAAGCTACCAGTTACAGCAGGTAGTGGAGTAGACAAACAGGTACACCTTCACCCCATCTGTGATGGACACCTTGCACCATCTCGCAAAACAAGGTGAAACGTCTAAAGGAGTTTTAGAATCCCCGAATCCCAGACTGGTTTGGGTTGGAAGGGACCTTAAGATCATCCAGTTCCAACCCCCTGCCACTAGAGCAGGTTGCTCCAAGCCCCTGTGTCCAACCTGGCCTTGAACCCTGCCAGGGATGGGGCAGCCACAGCTTCTCTGGGCACCCTGTGCCAGCACCTCAGCACCCTCACAGGGAAGAGCTTCTGCCTTAGATCTAACCTGAACTCCCCCTGTTTCATTTTGAACCCATCACCCCTTGTCCTATCGCTACAGCCCCTGATGAGTGCATTTCTTAAAGACAATCATACCAAAATGATTTTGGAACAGCATATTGTGCTGATTCATTCTTCAGATGCTATTTTCAGATATTCTTTTAAGCACTGCATTCTGTCAGCATTATGAATGTGGCCAATTTGAGCTTCATGTAACAGTTTTAAAAGTCTTGCAAAGACTTAATGAATTTTGCAAATATTTAGAAAGAGAATTAATGTAATATATGTAAAGATCTGCACATATTTGATAATCTTGAACCAATTTAATAAATCCTGTCCAGTTTTAATAAACATTGGATTAGGGTTAAACTTATTACAAACAATAAATGAATAATGAAAATATTTAAAGTGGAGTGTATATACAGTACCTTTTAAACGTTAATTGTTTTTTAAAGATCAGGAAAATACCTGCAAGCCATGTTACAGCTTTAAAAACTTCGTTATACAGGAAAATATACACACAACCCATACTGTTAGCAGCATGACTACTTCTAACACACTAGAAAAGCATGATTTTGCTTACCCTCACAGAAACAAAACCTTATTAGAATCACAACTGTATTACAAGAATCTAAAACAAACATGATCACAATCTGGGTGAAGAAAGGGAAAAAAAACCACAAAACACTGAATGTGTGAATGTATGAATTAGAATAATAGTTATAGAATGGTTTGGATTGGAAAGGACCTTAAGATCATCCAGTTCCAATCCCCTGCCATGGGCAGGGACACCTCCCACTAGAGCAGGTTGCCCAAGGCTCTGTCCAACCTGGCCTTGAACACTGCCAGGGATGGAGCATTTACCACTTCTTTGGGAAACAGAATTAACAGAAGAAAGTGCAACCAGAAGCATGTGCTTAAATCTACCTCTGTTTACGTGTATAGGCACTTCTCAAGGGCAACACACCTGACATTATTCATTTGTAGTGAAGCCCAGCACATTGCATAACCTTGTGTAGGGCCATCCCCAGCTTCTCCATAATGTTCACCCTGGGGTACCTACTTTTCCAATCAAAGAAGGAAATGCTGCTGTTGGAAAAATTGCACTGTTACACTTCTCCCAGAAAAGTACCAGTTTCAACAGAACTGTAATTGTGGAAGGTTTCCTACACCCCCAGTGGAACGATTTGTTAGTGTAAGAGAAAGCCACAAAAATCCCACATTACCTTCCCTTTTAGAGCTGTTTTCTGGGACATCTGAGCCAAGAATGCTCTGTTATGGGCCTGTATTTCTGGGAGGTCCTTAAGAAAGAAAAAGAAGGGTGAAACTCAAAAGGATGTTTTTGGCAATAAGGAGTATAACATCATAACTCAAAAGAGAAGTAAAATACAAGGTAAGTATCAAGAGAAGATGCAAGAAAATAGCAAATGTAAAAACCATCAAAATACAGATCCAAAGGATTTGGATGTTAGGATATGTGGGGGCTGGAGACAACAAAAGGGATGTTTTGAGGGATACCTGCCAGTGTGGAAAGGTAAAACACCAAACAAGACACTGAAAGTATCCTACTGACACCTTAAGAGGGCTCTTATTCACCTCTTTTTCCCCCCTAAATAATGTATTTACTACAGAGTGTGAAATACTATCCCTGCTCTAATGAGACACATGCCCCCTGCAGAGAGGACGGAAATGATGAGTTTCATGTCATACCAGGACAGCTTCAGGGCAAAGTCCATGCTAGTCTTGCAATTTGATTTCCATTTTACACTTCCATAGATAAGTTTTTGTGTGTTTGGAAACCAAAGGCTGTTTCAGTAAATATAACCTATTGTAAAACACTATCCGCAGAAATGGTGTATCCTATGAGCAGTGATTTGATTCTTTAAGATGTTCAGGAGGGAATCAGCAAACTCAGTCACTGCTTCAGCTGCTTTTCACAGTGGAAGCTGTCCTAGAGGTAGTGTGAATGAGCTGGCAGCTAGTTGGAACTGAGAACTAACCATCTATCATTAAATAATTATAGGAACCAAACTGGGGAAATCACAGTGATTCTGTAAACAGAAAATCAGGATACATTATTCTCTGGGCTCTTCTAGTAACTAAATGATTAAATAATATCATGCATATAAAAGTTGGGTGGAACTAAATATTCACCTTAATTAGGCAGAAAGATAGAGCAATATTGTTTCTGCCTATCTAATTTTCCATTGGTTAATGTTCTTCATTTTTATGGCAGAACTAAGTATCTGAAACAATTCATTATGAATCTTGGTTTATGAAAGCTAAGAATTATTCTGAGGGATATACAGCAGAGTAAGTGAAAAAAAGTCTATTAGAGAAATGAAGAGGAAGACTATTACTAACATGAAATTGCTGTAAATGAGCCTTTTATTGCCTGAGATTCGAAAGCCCACCAACCATAGCATCTCAATGCCAACAAAGTTTGCAAAAATCTTCCATTGCCTTTCTCCAACAGTGATTTTTCTGGTTGTTCACAGGCTTCCTCAGTCTCACTAAACTGGTGTTCTGACAGAGTTGTTTCAAGCACTTAAGCCTGCAGTAAAACTATATTTAATTTAACAATCCCTCAGCAGACCTTTAGAATAGATTCTGTTATTATATCCTGCAGTGCAATAGCCCTTGTCCAACTTCAGGTGTGAAGCAGCAAGAGCTGAATTTTAACCTGACTGCTAATCTGAGCACCAACATCACTGTCGGGAGGGTCTTTGCATCAGTATAGCTAAGTTTGCCCTTCATGCTGCTTATAGATCAGTGCCTAATAAAATCTTTCCTGAGTAAATACTGACAATGAGAGGAAGTCCTGAACAGATTGTTATAATCCATCAGCTACAACTCTCCACAGGACAAGCGCCCATTCCCCACACTTTCCTTTAAACACTTCAGCCCTTCCCGTACAAATGACCTAGAACAGTACAACAGCATTTTGCTTGGCAGGAAGAGGGTTAACTCCGTGCTGCACCTTGATCACCAGCAGGTATCAAACTTTGTCAGTAAAGGAGATATCCTCCAAACAGGAAGAGACAAAGCACTGCTGAGAGTCCCCCATCAAATACAATAGAACATGAAAGTATGGCTCAGTTTTAGCTCTGGCACCCAATAACAAGTCAGAACCCTGAGGGCACTGTCTTACTCAGAGATGTGAAATGCAAATGAACAGTAACATTGACAACTCAAGACCAAGCAAAAAACAAAGGACTTGAAAGCTACCTGGAAAGGTCTTGCATGAACACACAGCTGGTTTTGTTTTCACTTTTTGTGGGGCAGAAACGTAGTCATTTATGTGGAGGAGTTAGATGGGTAATTTTAGTGATCACCGCAGTCCCTGAGAATATTTTAGCAGAAAGAAAACCTTGAGGTAGTAGTGTACAGAAATCCTTTAACAGTGAAAGTCACAAGGAGCTCAGAAAAACAAGTTCAACATAAAAAGTTGTGGTGTGTGAAACAGAATGGATGAATTCACTTTCCCAAAACTCAGTCACACGACTTGCCAAAATATTTTCCTTCGTGAGGATTTATACTTTAAGGTGAGAAAAATCTAAGTTAACTTAGATCTTCCCTGTCTGCCTCTAGCTTCTGTACAAATGCTCTAAGGAAGCCAGAGTAACTCACTTTTCTACGCTTTTATAGTAGAATTAAATATCTGAAAGAGAAAAAGAAAACCCAGTAAGAATCTTGGTTTATGAAGGCCAAGAATTATTCTTAGTAAGCAGAGAAATAACAGCAAAAAGTCATATAGATCAAGACAGAAGTATTTTGGTAATACCTGTTTGGTTCACTAAAAGACTCTCAGGGATGCTACACAGATGCTCCACGAGAGGGATAAGTGTGTCCATGTCAGCCCCCACCATATCATTGGCAAGGCCAAGCCAGGATTTAGGACCACCGCTTGCTGAGCCTTCAGCCCTAAGATGTGATCCAGCATGATGGGACCACTGACCATTATGTCCAACATTCCAAGCTGCAACTTGGGATGCAGCTCGGGCACAGAGAAGTTTCCCATCAAGGTACGCATGAGCCCTCCCTGTTTTCACCGTGGGAGGAAACTCAGGCACAAAGGAATCTCAGCATCCTTGGCAGCCACCCCACAGAGGTCCATTGCAGAGACACCCATCCATTGTCAAGGCAGAGACCAAGAGAAGAAAACAAGAGGATCAACAGCAGTCCCATGCTTAGCACAACACCCATACTACCAAAACCTGTGAGAAGGGTTTGTAACCAGTCTAAAATGAGGCGGCTCTGGGTGCAAAAAATCAGGGTTCGTATTTACAAACCTTTCTGCAAAAGTGGGGCCAAATTTCAGTAGCCAAATGTCAAGGCTGAATTGAACATTCTCAAGACTAGGGGCTGGACTAGATGATCTTCAGAGGTCCCTTCCGACCCTCATGATTCGGTGAAGACAGGGTAGAGTACTTTGTTAGAAACTGAGGCCAGGGTCATGCAAATTTGGCCTCTGTTATCTGAAATGTGAAGAACAGAAAAACTTACCAAAAAAATCAGGAGACCTAAGACTAATAAAAAATACAAAGTTGTTGTGAACCCAGAGACTGGAGTGTCTGAGGAACAATAGCTTCAAAGCCAGGGGAAGGGTAATTGCTTGCTGTTAAACCGGTAGAACATCTAGTGGAAGCAGTGACTGGGGGAAAGATGTCAAAGAGCAATGAACTAATAAACAAGTGGAAAAGAAATAGTGAGAGCCCTTCCTGGACTGCAATCATTCTCCTCTTTTTTCCCCAGCAGCTGGTACATTTCCTGCTTTCTTGTCCTTGTGTGCTTGTGCAGTCACATCTCTCGGGGGTTTTTTTCCTAGCTGGACGGCTCAGAGGTGAATGGGGAGGTTCAAACAAACGTCTCTTTGTTGAATATTGGAGGGACAAAAGAAAACAGAAAGTTGTTTTATGGCACAGCAGTCAATTCAGGAGGGTAAAGCACCTGGTATTGGCACGTTTTGCATAGGTGCTAGTGCAAGCATACACATACTTCTTTATTCCATCAAGAGATTTCTTGAAGTTCTTGTCTCTCTGCCTCCCTTCTTCACATCCAAAGAGACAAAATTCCTTTGTTGACGCATCGGTCCTACCTTATCTGATAGCCAGTGACCCTCAGATGCCCACTCATATCCCTACAACTGGCCGTTTTCCACTAATATCCTCCTTCCCACAACAGAAGGACCGAGTTGTGAGCTGTTGGAGCTCTCACAACTCCAGCAGTGTTTGTCTAGTTTGCACTTGAAGCCTGCCACTTGCTGTTGTTTGCACAGTATCCAAAGAAAGTTGGCTGACCAGGTAAGTCAGATGCATGAAGGACTTTGGGCTGAATGCCTTGTCCCAAGACCAATTACCAGAAGAGTCTGACTGATGCCATATGATGAATTGCTCTCTCCTGGCCACACTGGTGATGGAGGAAGCCTAAAATCTTGGTTGTAGAGCTCTGAACCTCCTTGTGAGGGCCACACATTTACCTGCCTTGTACTACACAAGGGCAAAGTCAGGCTCTAAGCAGGGCAGTTCAGATCAGGGAGTCTCCAAAAACTGTGCGTGTTCCTAATTCTCTTTTAGGATCTGATAGTCAGAATAATATCACACTATGCAAACAATACATCTGAGCAATTCCATGTGCTCTGCCCACAGAACGTGCCTCAAAGTCCCTTGAGAACTGCATGGAGAAAAGCACACACCGTTTAGCAGATACATCACTACACACAAATGTATTCCATTCCTTTCCCAATAAGGCCTTCTAAATTTGTTAGAAAGTATTTGCAGAGAAAATGAAAGGAGCCCCTGGCAGCAGGAGTCCTTGGAGAGTAAGCTACGCACCGGCTAAAGGCTCTGCTGATCACAGTTGGAAGGACAGCCTGACTTTATCAGGAGGATCAAGGAGAAAAAGAGATGGAATATGGGAAAGGTTGGAGGAAGATAAAAAGGAGGAATTTATCCATCAAGGTCAGTTAATTGGAGAGAAGTTTCTGCATTGGGGTGGCTGGAAGCAGTATTAATCCAAGCCAAAATTTTGCCCTTTGGCACCTTATGTGTTCCTCTTGTAAAGCTTTTACATTGCCATAGAAAAAGAAGGGTATGTTTTGGTACTGAATGATTCTGGGGTAGGTTTTTCTCTCCATATGTTTGCATGAATCTGCAGAGGGCAATGGGGTTACACCACCACATGGTGTGAGATCAGAGGCAAGCTCAGTATCTCACCTTGTCTGACAGACTCTTTGACTCATTTCACTCTTTTTGACTCTGCCAGCGCTCCAGGGTCAAAGACCATGCCCAAACCTAAAGTCGATAGTAACTCGCACACTGTATTTTAAAGACAGAGGCTTCCTTTTTAAATAATGCATTATTTAAAATACACTTTCCTTTGTGTTAGCCTTCCTACCACATCCAAATGATCTTGACACGTGCTAGGGGGCACACACGTTTCCGGGAGGAGGGATCCCATTTCCTTTACACCAGTTTCCGTAGCATCGTCATCATCATCATCTGCTTATTTCTGCCCTTGATCACATCCTCTGAAAAGCTGGCAGATGTGAAACCTGAGCTGCCCATGGGCCTCCACACATCCCATAGCAGTAGGTATCCAAAATGGTTCAGATCATCTCTGATTCCTCTGTGGGTTATAGATCTCCTTCAGAAAAAGGGTGGGAAGCAGATGTGCAAAACAGAGAGAGGGAGACTATGACAGTCATATTTCTCTTCCACAGAAGGGAGGGATGAGTGTGTGCATTGGAGTAGGGAGGGAGAAAGATTAGATGCAGAAGAACAGCAGAAATCTGAAACACGGGTCAGATTTGATACATTAACAGTGCGCAAAAGTTTCTTAGTGAGAACATTTCCCTTTGGGTGATTTAACAAATGTAAGCTGGATCAAGTCTCCATTATGCAAGAAATATGTTAGGTTTCTTCTCTAGCTATGCACAAATGGCTGGGGAAAGCTGGATATACTCCCATCCTATAAACTGGAATCAGAAATAAATCGAGAGATTTATAAATCGGAGGTGCAATTCTTCAGCTACATTGGTTTAAAGACTGTGAAATGAATGACTAAAGCATTCACTCACAGTGTTTTATGAAGCAGATCTAATGTGCAGGTTTTGTGACCTGCAGTGACTTTAACTTCTCAGTAAATCAAAAAGCTTAACAAATATTAAGATGGCAAAGATTACCTGTGTGTGCCAGATTTCATCTTTTATCCGTTATCATTTAGGAAATGAAAAGCTTGAGTTGGAAATCAGACAGGCAGACATGTGACACAGGCAGTCTGGCAGCCCCACAAGACAAGAACCTGCAGGAGACACAGAAACTACACATTCGCTGATTAGTTTTTAGTCCTTAAGAAATGGCTCTTTTCATTGTTATTATTATTAGTGACCAATGAGCTTTAGAATCAGAGCAATTCCTATCTAAATTCCACGGCAATGAAAATTCATTATTGCAGGCTAGAGGAAGCAGCTGGGTGTGTAGCTCAGGCTTAGGGACGGCTCCATACACAAGTGAGCTTTGGAGGTGTTGAGATTTGGTGGGCAGCACCCATTTGAGAACACAGAGGACAAAGAGCTCTCCTTTTTCAGCCTCGGCACAGAGTGGCATGGAACTGGCTGCCAGAGGGGATCTTGGATGAGCCACAGGTTAGAGATTCACAGCATGTGGGGAGACCCACTGTAGTTCAAGTAGGCATGCCCTCAGTTTGGTAAGACTGTCTTGCAGTTCCTTCCTGGGATGCAGGAGGTAGCTGCATCTTTCCCAGCAGAAAGGCCTGCTCTTCATACCTACAGCCCTCCAAATACACCATGGGCCTCCACGGTGAAACAGATATTTGTAGTCTACTCCAGCTTCTAACATATTCCAAACTAAGGGCTGAGGCAGTCACCTTGAGATTGATATTTAATGCTTAAGGAGAGTCAGACTTTTCCAAACATTTACTGATTCATGAAATTAGCATCAGCTCTACTGGTGGGATACTGAGGTGGAATGGATAAGGCCTGCTTCAAGGCCATAGAGTAATGTAGAGACCGAATCACAACAAGAATTTGAGCCTAAGATCCAGCCACAACCCCAAACCAAATAACTATTAGCTTGTCACACACACGTGCAATATTTCTTTCTTCTGCATACAGAAATGAAGACAATCTCAAAGGCTAGGCAACCTCCATAACAAAATCAGACCTGTAACAACCACATCAACTATGGGTGCCACTGCAGGCTCTGGGTTTGCACAAATTGTCTTTGCTCCAAGAAGGTCTTGTACCCCTGTAGCCCCCTGTCCCAGCTTCCAAAGGCACTTATGGCCATCCTTTCCTCTTCCATCTGACAGCTGGAGATGAATATAAGTTAAGCATATATTGAAGTGCAAGGGAAAAGAGAATGGAAATGGAAAGAGTTTCATAAAATGGAGGTTTCATTTTTCCCTCGGAATGTAGGATCTCAATTTAAAAATGGCACCACTTTTCTTCAATTCTGAAGTGATGCTATAGCTGTTTAATAAGCTGGAGATAGATCTAAAGCACATAAAATAACAACCTAGTTCTCCTTTTGTCTGATACAAAAAAGAGGAAGAAAAGAAAAGCATTCGGTGTTGGAATATAGAACTGGGTTTAAACTGTTAGTTACCATACAACTGTCCCTCTGTCACAGCCTGAAAGCCTGTGACCATAGGCCAGAAGCTGACAAAGTCAAGCGCACCATTACTTCTTGGTATGCACTGGTCAGAAAAAAGCATCCCTTCAACTGGGACAAGTCAGCTTCACTGCAACAGCATAAGCAGTTCACCATCAAGCAATATTTGGCCCCAAATAACTCTACGTATCCAAATAAATCACCAAGCTGATTGCAGGTAAATCAACAGGGAAATTTATATACTAACTAATAACAACAACAAAATAGTTCAAGTATCAGACTTCAAAGAAAGAAACTGTGGGACCACATATGTTAAATGAAGAGTACTGCTGAAAGTTTAAATATGTGTTAGTCCTCCATTCCATCAGATCTGTCCTAAAACTCCAGTGGAAAGAGCATTAATGGTTAATAATTGTCATGCCATAAAAGTCAGGCCATCTCCTGTGGAAAAGATGGAAATACAAGTCTCCAGGGCTGTGCAGACAGACATTTGTATTATAATATCTTTGCTTAGTGTATCATATAATAGATATATTTGATATAATTCATAAATAACAAGATATTTATGGAATCCTTGCATCTGCCTTCTATTTTTAAACTTCTGGATTTATCATTAAAGGAAGTTGTGAGCTGATGGCCCTGTACTGGAGTGTGAACAGAGCAAACTCTGTCAACAGCTAGCAAAGGGCTCAAAGGTAACTGTACAATCTGCTCTGAGCAAGGGATGCTGTGTATCTCTGTTCTGCTAAAAGCATATTGCAACTCAGCAAGTCCATTTTCTGCCATGCTCTCCCTGACTTTGGGAAGTTATTTCAGTATGTCTCATGGCATGCAGGCACCACAGCCACACACCCAGCCTGAGCCTCTGCCCAATGGAAGGTGTATGGGATGAGGGCAGCTTACTTTCTATGTCCTACTCATCTCTACATCACTCCTACCCTCATTGCTCTGGGGTAAAGCCTTGTTCTTCACACCAAAAACATGGCCTCTGCAACAGAGTCTGAGCAAAGGAATTAACTGGCACCTCTCTGTCTTCACTTACCAGCCCTGGATTCCAAAGGAAAGGTATTGACAAAACCACATGCACAGAGCCTCAAAACCAACAAAAACCCAACCTAACAGTGTACGGTTTCACCACCATGCTTGCCCACCTTACTCCAAGGCCTGAAATGACATGTAAAGACAGACTTGCTGTTAAAGATACAAGTGTTGTGTGTGAACAGAGCAGGATGGGGTGAAACCCTCTGTTTCACCAGAGTGTGGGACAGTATTCCTTAAAGAAGCACAGCTGGTTGCACTGGTACACGTATCTGAGCCCTTATTTTCACAATCTTTGTTTAAACTCACCTAAGAAAGGACACCATCATATTGCTCTCTGCTCCCACTCATTCCCAGAACTGGTTTTAAATGGTGTCTGCACACCCACCGCTGACTTTGTAAAAGCTCATAAAGGAAGCTGGGGAATCAGAAGCTGGGGCACAAAAGCAGAGAACCTGCAGAAACAGAGAAGAAAAAGAAACTGTGTTGACAGATAAGAGTAGGAAGCTTCCATCTTCTATGTGGACAAGTGTGAGTAAGGAGTATGGCATGTCCATGAAGACTTTTACACAAACCACATGCAGTGGCACTGTGTTCTTGCTAGCTGCAGGGTGAGTCACTTTAATTATGGAAGTTCTGCTATTAAACGGGCTTTAATAAGTAAATGCATTGCTATTTCTTTAGCTCTTATTACGATTTAATTTACCTATTCATTTTTCTGTTCTTTGAGTTCTTACTAAAATGAATAGCTGGCATCTCCTAGGCCTGTTCCCTTTTGTATTCTTGCCAATAGAATAACATCACAACATTCTGTAGTAATGCTCTTTGGGCCATTGGAGATAGAAAATGTCAAGTACCTTTTATATGCAATTCTAATATTTGCTTTACTCTCCATTGTTTCTAATATCCCCTGAGAACCTTGAAAGTAACATTATTTCCTTAACAAGTTTGGCCTTTCTTCCTTCTACTTAACAAATCGTTTTCTCAGGGCCTTATTACTTGCTAGTCTAGACTACAAGCAACTGCCACAAAATATTGCTGCTCATATATGTCTGGGCTAGAGAAAAGAACCTAGAAACAAATAAGCATCTCTCTTGTTTTCTTCCTGACTTGTTGGCACTCTGCAAAGAAGAACAATGGAGAACATTTCCTCAGATCCTGAGCTGATTGCATCTCAGCTAAACTTCTATTACACTTGAGCAATCCCTTAAGACTTTGATTCTCCAGCTATAAAAATAGGCCTATGATGATAATCCTGTACTTCCTTGTTATTTAAAAGGAGAGGAGCAATAATAGTTGCTGGAAAGTCTTGTGGACACCTCTTTAACTTTTGAGAAATGCCCACACTTGGGAGCCCAACACGCATGACAGCGTACTACAGAGGCATAATGAAAGTTGATCAAGTGAATGAAGTTAGACGGATTCCTAGATTTCATTTTCTAGGTTGCAGAGCTCCATGCTTCTGGTTCAATTTCTTCATCAGTTTTTTGTTGTTGCCATTTGGGTTTTTTTCCCAGAACACAAAAATTTTCACTTGGAAATATCCTTACTGGTACTAAATGTCTTTTAGGTGTTTAGTGCCAGAATTACATTCCTCAGAGTGGAACAAGACACATTAAAAAGTCTCTAATCAAAGTCCCTTAGTACGTGACACGTGGGGTTTAAAGTCTTTCCACGGGATTGCATGGGTTTAAACTCCAGCCATTGAGCCCATGAGGTACCATAGAGCTGTGTATCACAGGGACCTGGACTTGCATCCCCCTGGTTCCCTCTTATCTATGCCCTTTATTGCCCTCTAGCCTGGTGAAGAGAAACTGTTTCCAGGCTTTCCTCCCTGCAATGTAAGTGGGAAAATAGGCAAAGGTGGTTAACATTGGAATGTACTTGTGACAGCACATCTGCAAACGTGCCTTTCAGGACAATATCTTTCTAGCACACAGTGATTTTTAGAACTTACGTATATTTGGGAACTGCAGAGACTGGAAACTCTTAGTTTCTTTCAAGGTTACGGCAGGAGAGGAAGGAGGCTGAGCTGAAGTGTTTATGGGAGGTAACACATATAATTGAATCTCACAAACTGTCCAGGATGCCACTTGCAGAGGCAGAAGGACAACAAAGAGCAGAACACCCTGTTCGCATTGCACAGACCTTCATTGCTTTGCTTCAAATGCTGCTTCCTGAAGAAAGGACGTAGGATAAGTAGCTCATCTGACAGGCCAAAGGAGTCACAACAGCTACTTAATTATGAAACTCTCCTAGGCGTTTATATATTAATTCATGGTCTAATGCGGTGTCAAGCTGAGGCGAATAAAGGTTAACATATTCTATTAGCCCCAATTGTCACAAGAATTTCATGGAATCATTCAGGTTGTAAAAGACCTTTAAGATCATTGAATCCAACTGTTAACCTATCACTGCCAAATCCACCACTAAACCACATCCTGAAGTGCCACATCTCTATGTCTTTTCAATAACTCCAGGGATGGTGACTCACCACTGCCTTGAACAGCCTGTTCCAGTGCTTGATAAACCTCTTGGTGGAGAAACTTTTCCTAGTAACCAATCTAAACCTCCTGTGGTGCAACTTGAGGCAGTTTCCTCTCTGCCTATTGCTTGATACTTGGAAGGAGAGACCAGCACCTCCTGGCTCCATCCTCCTGTCAGCCACTTGTAGGGAGCTATCAGGTGCCCTCTGAGCCTTCTCTTCTACAGACTGAACCCCCCAGGTTCCTCAGCTGTTCCCCATCACACTTGCGCTCCAGGCCCTGCACCAGCTCCGTTGCACTTCTCTGGCCCCACTCCAGCACCTCAATGTCTTTGTTGTAATGAGGGGCCAGAACCGAACACAGGATTCGAGGTGCAACTTCGTCAGTGCCAAGTACAGGGAGACAAGCACTTCCCTGGCCCTGCTGGCCATGTCAAACAATATGGTCCATTAAATGTTGAATCTAATAATTTCTATTATGTTCACTATAATAGAAATTATTCCTATAAACATGATCTGAATGGCTGTGATTTATTAATGCGGACATAAGTTTAATTAGCAATTGATTTCAATTGAGCCTCACTCTGAACAGTAGGTTGTGTTGTAAGCCACGTAATGGAGTCAATATCCAAAAGTAAATATGGAACTCCAAGGCAGGATATGCTTGTCAGTATTCTCAATTTGTATCCCTGCCTCCCACCGTGTAAGAACAGCACTCCTGTTCATCATGGGATTCCATTCCCCTCTGTCAAAGAAGATTGGAAAACCTGTCTCCCACAAAATTCCAATAGTTAAAGATCTCTCTCAGAAAGCATTGCTGAGTAGAAGTTAAGAAGGCTCTCCTAGGACTGAGAACAGTGTGGAACAGCTCTGCCACCATGAATGGGAAATGCCGTAAGAAGCCCATGTAGAGGAGCTGCAGTAAAACACATCACAAAATGACAAGATGAAAGAAACTAACTCTTAGCCAGAAACCACCAACACCAAACTCACCCTCCTGAGGTTCCCCTTCACCATATCCCTGCTGCTGCAAGTGGCACATCCTGCTCCCCACAGTTGTACCTACAGTTTCCTAACAGAGCCATACTGACCCAGGAGCACCCCACACAGCACCACCTTTTGCTGTCACAACAGGGCCACTTAAATTCTTCATGACTCGGTTTTCTGCCTCTATA